AGATTAGGGAGCGGACCTTCTTTTTCCTTAATACATTTTTCGTGTGGTCCACATCTTCTGCAGTAAGCATGTACTGCTTAAGTACCAGGTATTCGCCATACCTTTTTTTTCCAGAGCAGGTGTGCCTACTTAACATATTACATCACGGGCTTATGTCACCCCATGAAAGACAGAGAAGAGCTTGTGGGAAATTAGAGATGTGTCCCCAGTGAAATCATACTCCTATATAGGATTATCTGTTAAGGTTGTTGTATGGTTATTCTCTGCTCAATTTCCAATGTTTTTCTATTCTAGAATGTTGAAGTTTATGTGATTCAGGAAAGGTATACTGTTATTATTACCATCAAGGTCATCATTTTGAGATACTAGCTAATGTTATACCCTAGTGTTCTTTTCAAAAGTTACTGAGCTAAGCTGGTAAAATCAGAAGTAAAGATTACTGATAGGCAATTATAATGATGCTAGTAATAGCAAACAATTCTACTTTGCTTGCTGTATGCCAGGTGTTATGCTAAATGCCTTACCTATACTAACTCAGTTAATCTGCACAACAACCCTGTGATATAGGTTTTCTGGTTACCGCCATTTTATATATGGGCAACTGAGGCACGGTGCTGTGGGTGTGTGACCTGTCTGAGGTCATACAGCATGTAAGTGGAAGGGCCAGGAAGCAAACCCAGGCCGCTGTATTCTCCATCACGGCAGCGTTTTGCCACTGGAAATGGCTTAGCACAAAGGTGCACAAGAACATGCTGCAAAAGCTAGAGATAAAGTCAAGGCCATAGAAGCCTCACTTTTTAAAACAAAGATGACATATGTACTCTTCTGTTTTAGGTGAAGATTCTGAGAATGATTCTGATTTTAGTGAGAGTGAAGATAATGATGAAGACTTCACTGTAAGAAAAAGTAAAGTTAAAGAAATTAAAAAGAAAGAAGTGAAGGTTAAATCCCCAGTGGAAAAGAAAGAGAAGAAACCTATATCCAGATGTAATACTTTGGGTAAGCTTAGTCCAAAACACTTCATAAAGGAAATGTATTTGGTTTATTTGATGGGTGTTTCTTATATTTGTCTTTGTTCTCCTTAACAGTTGTGAGTGTTCCTTTTTAGTTAAAATATGAAGAAGAAAGCAGGATGGGCGGGGAAAGGAAAAACAGCAGACGAGGGTACTGAGCTCCGTTACTTACCTAGCACTTCCTGTGTATCACTTGAGCACTGTATCCCTTTAGTACTGACCCCCTATTAGCTATTGTCGCCTGCATTTTACAGTGAGAAAAGTTCAGAGAGGTGAAACAATCTGTTGGAATTCTTACAATTAGTAAGTAAGGGGCTAGAATTTGCACCCACGTTTGTCCATGCAGAGCCTAAGCCCTATCTACTGGACCACATTTTCTCCAGGCGATTAAACAGGGAACTTTGCACCATGCGAATTTCTTGATTTCATGCTTGACTTAATCTTCAACTTCAGAATGCTTTTGCCACATTTTGGGCCATTTTGTTTTTTTCAGAACAACTTTTGTCAGAAATCATTTTTGCAATAAAACTTTTGGAATTTGTGACAATTTGAACACGGAATACCTGATTCTTTTGTAAAAGAAGTTAGGATGCTTTTGAGTTCATAATATATGTTAAATTATTATAACACATAACTTTCATTAACCTGATTTGTTTACTTATTGATATATATTTTTATGTCTTAGTCATTTAATATATATGGTCTTTGAAACTAAAATTTCCATTACTGAGACTCCATTTATTAATAGTAGGAGTTGCTCTTGCCTTAACTAACATGATCCTGACTACTTGCTAAGAAATAAGAATTAAGTACTGATTGAGTTATAGTCCTCTCTCCACTGTATTCTGAGTTAAGAGGTTTTAATTAGTGTTTTTTTAATTGATAAATTGATCTGGTTTCTGGAAATTACATTTCAAATGCAGGGGTTTTTAGAGATAAAGTTGTATATTAGTTTCCAATTGCTGCTGTAAAAAATTTCCACAAACTTAGTGGCTTAAACCACTACAGATGTGTATTACTTTACAGTTCTGCAGATCACAAGTTCAAAATGGTTCTCAATGGGCTAAAACCAAGGCATCAGCAGGGCTGTGCCTTTGTGAAGGCTCTAGGGGAAAACCATTTTCCTGCCTCTTCTAGCTTCTCGAGGCCGCTTGTGTTCTTTGCCTGGTGGCCAATTTCCATGTTCAAAGCCAGTGATGTCAGGGACTTTCCCACATCACATCACTCTCGCGCTCACTCCCCTGCTTCTCACATTTACTTGTAAGGACATGTGAGTACATGGGGCCCATCCAGATAATTCAGGATAATCTCCCCACCTCAAGACCATGAACTTAATGACATCAGCTAAGCCCCGTTGCTATGCACATGTTTGGGGAATCAGGATATAGACTTTTGGGCAGGGCCCTTCTGCCTACCACAAACTGTGATATGAAAAAAATTATTAGCAATATGAATATATTTTATATTTTCTTTAAATGTTTGTTTATGCTTCCTCCCTAAGGCACACTAAAACTGAAAATAAATTTGTTTCCAAGTTGGAATTTACCATATAAAGTCTTCTGTATACCTTGGAGCAAGTTGCTTCATAAGGAATTTTAATATATAACATTAGAAATAAAATTTAACTCCTAAACAATGGGATTAAGAATTAGGAAAGATGGATTATATTTCTAGTTCCGCTAATAATGTATTGAGTAGCCTTTGAGAGTCTTTCATTTGGCACATGTTATTATTTTTCCCTTGATAGAGAAAATTTCAAGATATGTGCTGTCCTGTATGGTAGCCACTAACCACATGTAGCTATAGTACAGTTAATTAAAAGTAAATAAAATGTTAAAAAGTCAGTCCTTTGGTTTTGCTAGCCATACTTCAAGTGCTCCATAACAATAGGAGGCTAGTGGCTACTGAATTGCACAGCACAGAATATAGAGCGTTTCCATCATCACAGAAAAGCTGCTGGACAGTGCTGATGTGTGGAATATAAATGTTAATATTAAAAAGAGGATATAGTGAAAATGTTCACATTCATATGCATTTAGATACCCTGTAGGTTATCTGAAAGGGAACTTATATTCCACCTCTCCTCCCTTCATTCCGCACCAAAAACCAACACCTACTCCCATTCTTGTTTATACTTGGGTTAATGGCACCATCCAGCAGTGTGTCCATGACAGGAGCTTGCAAGTCATGATTATTTCTCATCTTCACCACCGCCTTTCCCCATCTGATTACTAAAAGTGATCCAATCCCTCCATTCTCTCCCTTAGTCCAGGCCCTTATCAACTCTCACCCCAATTACCGTAAGAGCCTACTCAGTGGTCTACTTGCCGTATTCTACCATCAGAAAGATGGTTTCAAATTGCAGGTACTCCTGAGAAAAATCACATGGCCCCTTTACTTCCTCAGTGATCTGCGCCCTGTCTCTTACCTCTCTTATCCTCGCTGTCCCTGCTCCAGCCTCACTGAGCCCGTAGCTGGTCCTGGAACTTGCATCTGCCAGCTTTGCATGCTCTACTCCCTCTGGCTGGAAAACCTCCTCTACCTCATCTTGACCTTCCAGGCTTGACTTGGCTCAAATTATCCTCACCCACCTTCCTGTGACTTCTAAACCTATGCAAATATAGACACAGATTGTAAGTTCCCTCCTACTGTGATACCTCTAGAGTCTGTCGTAGCTCTTACCACACTGCATTATGCACATCTTTACTTCGCTGCCTTTTCTTCTACAGTCCAGTGACTGGACCATAGGAATTCCTTGGGAGCAGAATCCATGAATTCTATTTGTAACGCTAGAGCCTAATATATTGTCTCACTGACACATACTGAAGATACACTGTTGTGTAATATTTAGAAGTGTGAACTTTGGAGTCAGGCCTGGTTCCTAATCCTGGTTCTAACATTTACTAGCAATCAAACTGCAGGCAGATTGCTTAGCCTCCCTGTTTCCTGATCTGACAGTGGGGATGATAGTATCTGCATCAGAGCTGCTCTAAGGGTTAAAGGTATGTATAGGATATGCATATCACACTGCCTATCATATACATGCTCATAAAAGGTGGCTGTTTTAGGCTTTCAATAAATGTTAGTTGATTAAAAAGTTTTTCAAAATGATATTGCCATTTTAATTTTTAGAAGATTATGTAACTATAATTTTTACATACATATACTATACTTAACCTTCCTGACAAACTTTTTTATGGATATTTTTCAAATAAGTGACTTCAGTGAACTCTGCTCCAGCTGCCGTCAAATCAGAACCTCAGTCCTCAATGAAAAAAGTATTTCCTTCAGAGGCCACTAGGAAACCATTGCAAATATGCAGTCCTTCAGCTGAAAGCAAGAGACCCAAGTGGGTCCCCCCAGGTATGGTATATTTATTGATCAAGGGCCTGGGTAGGTGGTTTTCCTAGTTGTAAATGTTACACATATTATTACATGTTCTTCAAAACAAAGGCTTTGCATTTATTCATCATTTATCATTCCCTCATACTGAGCATCCAGATTGTTTAGTATTTTTTTCAGTGTTATAAATGAGGTTGCAATAAGCACAAGTATCCTTATTTTAGAAATCTGTGGGCACGTCCCTGATTATTTTCTTAGGATGAATTCCTAATAGTAGAATTACAGTGTCAGAGACAATTAACATTTAAGGTTCCTGATACGTGTTTTTGGCAATAAATCTGTTTGCTCAAGACCCGCTGACCTGCACAGCCTGAGGTATCAGGGCCTGTACATGAGAATGCCAGCATTTGTAATAACAAATGCCCTGGAAAACTCAACCTCCAGCTCCTATAAACTACTTCTTTTTGTTTTCTTTTGCTCCACAGCCAAGTCTCATTGATGATTCAGGAATTCTTTGACCTTCACCCTTCTTGATATTACGAAAACCCTCATCCAGGCCTCAAAATTTCATACCCAAAGTATTGGCTTCCTAACTAATCCTGTCTCTTATCTCCACTTTCCCTGTCCAACCACATGACANGAAAATTTAATTTCTTGATCAAATGAATAATCTTTACAATCCTAACAATCCACCTCCTTTCTCTCAAAATTCAAGTTAGTTAAACGTGACCTAATGATGGTTACTTTTATTATTTACAAAAGTTAAAGGTACTAATTTGTTTAGCAAGCTCAGTAGACTTAAGGGGTCTATGGCTTTTGGATTTCTCTGTGGATTTTTTCCCTTTGATTTTTCTGGTGACTGCAGCAGATGTCAATACTGATATTCTGGAGAGGCAGAAGTCATTCCTGGAAAAGATATTCAAACTGCTAAAATGCATTTTGGATTAAATTGTTTTGGTTTAACTTCTTTGTGCTGGAGGATATTTTTAGCCCATTAACTTATTTAGGTGTATAGATGTTTAAATCAGTATTGCCTCCTATTTGAAAATAAATGAGACACTGTTGATTAGGGGGTCTTTTAGTAATCAGGAACCAAAGAAACTTAAAAAGTGAATTGTCATAAATTATATCTAAAATTGAGAAAATGAAATTCATCTCTCACCTATAAGAGATTGTAGAATGTATAGCAAGATTTCCTTGGAAGTATGACTTCTCATAGAATAATGCTCTTTGTAACACTGGGCTTAACAGTACCAATTATCATGACTTAAAGTCCTCTTAAAATACTACAGAACATTTTAAGATTATTATAATGATTGAAGAGTCTTGATGCTGGTAAAAGCATGGCTCTGCCTACACAGAAATAATAGTTAATATTTATTGAGTGTTTNAAGTGAATATGAAAAGAATTTCAGTCTCACTGGTTATTATGGAAATAATAAAATACTATTTTATACCTCTCAAACTAGAAAATAATAAAGCAATATAATTCAGTACACTCTGGGTTGTGGGGTAGCAGGTTTAATTATTGACTATGAATTTATAATCACTTTATAGGACAGCTTGACAAGAGCCCTAAAAATAAACCTGTGCTTTGGCCTAGAAACTAGTCTTGGGAATTTATTCCTAAAAAAGAATTAAAAAGAAGAAAAAGTAATAAGTGGTCAGCTTTTTATAACAATTTATAGAAAAATGGTGATAAACTAGAAACAGCCTAAAAGTTTATTGAAAGAATTTGATACATGGCACATACATGCAATTAAGAATGATAAATCAGATGGTTAGAAACATGGAAATGTTTATAAATCTGTACTTGAAAAACAAGTACACACAGCTGTACTTGTGACTACAGACATGATCAACTATGAAAACGTGGATAAATTTTGAAATTTCATGCTTGATGGAAATAATTGCTACGTTGGAGTGGTAGCATAAATGAAACCAGTGTAAAAAAATAATAAGCAGTATTTGTTATGTTTAAAGTTATTTAATATTTTAAAAAATAGATCCTTTCAAAGGAGTACTTGTAAAAATTGCAGGATTTTAAAAAATGTATTAGATTTTTGTACTACTTTAGAAATTGTAATTGCATTCATTTCTGTAGCCTTTACAACCAATGTTATTTGCTCCCAATTTACCTATTTCGGTTTTCATGCTTTAAGTTTTGGTATCATTACCTTGCCTTCTGGGGATGTTTGAAGATAGGTGATATTATATTTTTTCTGCTCTTTACTACTTTCCATTCTTTTGATCTTATGTATAACTCCAGAGCCTGCATAGCAGAATAATGCGTAACTACTTTTTTTGCTTTATAAATTTATGTTTGTTAAGAGATTTCTAATATCATCAGCATCAGGTGATACGTTTTCTTTCAGCGGTATCTGGAAGCAGCAGCAGCAGCAGCCCCAGCAGCAGCCGCAGCCCACTGGCAGGGGTGTCTGTTAAGTCTCCAAATCAGAGTCTCCGTCTTGGCTTATCCAGACTAGCACGAGTTAAACCTTTGCATCCAAATGCTGTTAGTAGCTGAGTTTGGTAGTAAAAAAAATGTTTGATTAACAGAATCACCACTTTACAAGTGTGTTTGTATTTGAATTGTGTTTATATTTAAAGAGGATATTGTAATATAAAGGAATTCCTTAATGTCATATAAATTATCTCTACCCATTTTGTGATTATGTTCTCTGAAAAGCTATTCAAAACTTCAATAAGAGGTTTGTTTATAAGAATTATCTTGTAATGTCGTTTCCTTCTGAAGGGCATATTCTATTTTCCTTACGTATAATAAATTATTGTCATTAGTGGTTGTCAGTTTGACGTGGAGGAAGTCTGCATTACATGCTGTTCTTTTCCAATAACATGAGGTTTCTTTCTAGCTTCATCTAATTTATGGCACCTTAACTTTGTTCAGAGTTTATCTGGCAAAAGGAAACATTCCCATCTTTTCCAGGAGATGTTTCTGAAATCTTGTACTTAAGCTGCATTGTCAGTTTTATTGCAAAGATGTTTTGTATTTTAGCCAAATAATTTTATAATAAGAATTCAGAATTATTTTACACATTAAAACAGTTGCTGTATGGCATATGTCTCCTACTTAGAAATAGATGATTATTGTACAGCATATAGAATTTCTTGACATTTTATGAAGCCCCCATTGTCAAAACCTTTAATAAAAATGAAAAGGTTTTGATATGCTCTTTTCCTTGATACAATCACATCTGTCTATCTCTGTCTATATTTCATGATAAAATGAATGCTTGGCAAAAAACATTAGCCTTCTGATGTAAATATAAAGGGGGGCTGTTAAAATAATCACTGTGTTAGGTCAGTGCCTTAGAGGGTAGCTGTCAAGTACTTCATCATCCCTATTATGATATTAGATAATACAGCTTTTCAGGAAACTTAGATCTGAATTGTTGTGAATAAAAATAGTAACAGACATTTTATATTTATGGTGAGAATTTCAACCTGCTCCTGATAACTTTTTAATAAAAATGCTTTGAAAAATGTATAATACTTAGCTCAGTTCTTTTTTTGTATTGTACATTTTTTTCTTATCCAGTGTATATTTTTATACTGTCATATACCACCTCACCTACGCCACCCCATCCCCTTTTTAAAACATATTTTCCAGTGACACAGTATTGAGATACCCTATATGGAGCAGTTCAATAGTAAACATTTATTAATAGCCTACCCTGTATTAGGTACTGATATTGATTAATCACCTGGCACCAGCTTGATGAACCTGTTTCCTCCGTGTTATATAGTTTCTATTGAAAATTACCATAGGGCTGGCCGAGTGGCGCGATGGTTAAGAGCTGGCTTGGGACGCCAGAGAGCCCCGGTTCAGATCCCACATAATGAGGGCCAGTGACACTGCCCTCTACAGCTAAGATGCTGAACAACAGCTCAACTGGAGCTGAGCTGCCGTGAGTCGCCGGCAACGGCATAGGCTGCAGCCCCTGCTGCAATGGGTTGCCATGGGCTACCGTATGTAGCCAGCAGCCAGCGAGAGCGGCCAGCAGCCGCAGTGAGCGGCCGTCCAGAAGCCGGCGACTGATCTGCCTCGCCTGGGAAGAGCGCAATGATGGTGCCAACTTNATTCCTCCTTTTTAGTGTACTTTACGGAGCAATACAATCAGTTTATTTTCATTCACCCTAAGCCCAGAATGACTAACAACTCTCCAATCCCCTCAAAGGTGATTGTTCACTATATACGAATGTTCAACTATTATCATTTCACACAACCTCAAGTTTGGAGCAGGCTCCTTTTCTTTAGGTGACATGTCATAGCTTTCCCCCTGCATTGGCTCACCCTAGATAGGAAGAGAAGGGATCATCTGTGACCTTCAGTTGCGAAAGAAAAGTGAAAATTGCAGAGAACATTAGACTTTTCTTAAGGACATCTAAATATCCCCAGAATCTATAGCCTAAGTGTTTGGGCTGTCCAGATTTCCCAATATGATATGCCAATGACTTGGGAGTCTGGGAGCTCCATCTTCCCACATCCAGATTATTTAAACTGCTTTCTCCATTAACTCATAAAGCTCAGTTGGACCCCATCTTTAGATAAACGTGTTCAGTAGAGTTATACCCAGTTCCTCCCATTTATCCTTTCAAGCCAAGAATACACGTAATACCGGAAGTGTCCCAGATTTTATATTCTGAAGTTTTGGAGACACTTCCCCACTCCTTGCTGTCCCTGAACCTAGATCCTCTTAGGACTCCAGAAATAATTACTTGATTTTGCAAGGTACTATTTATAACAGCCTTTATGTGACCTGGCCTTATATGGCTAATTCTAAGTAACACAGTAATCATGTGGATATGTGGGTTGATTACTCTTATATTATTTTAAAATTTTATTTGTGTGGAAAGAATGATAGAATAAGGAAATTACAATTTGAAGATCATAATGACCATCATTAATTTAGGCAAAGATCATCAATGGAAGGCTGATGAGGATCTTCATAATGGTGAATTCAGGCTGGCATCAGGCTGAACCAACAAAGTGTGGGACAACTATGTATTATGNGATGGTGCCAACTTGGGCCAGTGAAGCAACGTCCTCCACAACTAGACTGAAGAACAAAAGGACAGCAACTTGTTTGTTCCCCTTCCCCCAATTCCTCAGCACTGTTCCCATCCCCCCAATTAAAAAAAAAAGAAAATTACCATGAAGTTTGTTAAAACTGGCCTTGCAGAAAGCACTAGTGACCTTCCTGTTTCCAAACCCAGTGTATATTTTTCTCACCTAATTTTATAAACCGTGTTCTTCATACCCTGCTTAATACATTTTATTTCCTGCACTCACATGACACTATTCTGTCATCATTTTCTCCCCATCTCCCTCTCTACTCTTCATTATTTTGCAGCTTTCTAATCTTTGTGTCACCTATACCCACTCCTACCATAGTGTCATATTCTGTCATTTCATTCCCCCCCGCCCCACCCCCCCTTTTTTTTAAAGCTTAGATGACATTAAGCCCCAGTGGTCACCTATGTGACAGTTACTGCCATGTCAGGACCTTTAGCCCAGATCTTACTCTGCACAAGACCTGTTGCCTGGTCCATTGATAATTTGATGTAGGAAGTCATCACTAAACCAGTAACATCTTCCCCTACCCCCAATGTTTCCCCTTCTATGTCTTCTCTTAGTAAATGACACCACCACAACCTCTGATGCCTGAGGCAGTGTCACCCTCCACATCCAATCACCAAGCTCTATTTCCTTAGTTGTTCAAAACCATTCTTGCCTCCCACTTGCTGTCCCTTACTCCAAAACATCACTTACTGCTTCTAACAGGCACCCTTGCCTTGATTGTTAACCTGCTCTGGCCTACCCTCTACACTATTGTTGCCAGAGGGAGTTTTCTAAAAATCTGAGCTTGAACACCCCTCTGCTGAAAATCCACACACATAGACCTTTGCCTGTTTAGTTCACAAGATACCTCAAACCTGGCCAACCCCTCCTGCCACCCATGGTAGAGCCCCAGGGCCCTGGGCGTTCAGACTGGCTCCTATCTGCCTTCAGTACATTGCTAATTCCCACTTGTCCTTGGAATTCGGCTCTTTTCAAAAAGCTTTATTTGGTTGTCTGTTTCCTCCATGGACCAGACTGTGTTCCTCCAGGCCTCACTACAGTCATTCAACTATAACTTTCCTTAGTTTTCCTGCTTTTTAAACCTTGTACAGAATAAGTGCTCAAAAGGTGTTTATCTGATGAATACATTATATCCAGAACTTCTGCTATGAGCTTCTGCTAACCATGAACTTTGAAGAGGAAGAGAGTAGGGATAATTTCAGAGTCTGGTCTGTTCCCTCATCTCGCTGTCCTCTGGAAGTCCTTCAATTCTTGTCCCAAACTTGAAAGAATTGGGGCAAGAGAATGGGAGTAGGAAGAAAAGAGATGTGTTTTTTAGGTTGATGTGAAAGGTGGTTTGGGCCTTAAGTCCTTTCAGCTCCGGAGTCACAAAAAGGGCGGAAATAGTTTCTATAGCGACGGGAGGAGGGTGTGGTCCTCCACCAGCACTCTGCAGGGTACTGGAGACACGCCCCGCGGGGGCCCAGCGGACAGCGCCAGCCTGATGCAGCCCCTCCCACCGGAACAAAGTAAGGGCGAGAGAGGCCGCTGGGGCTCGCGGTTCCGCGAGAGGCTGAACCGGCCGGGTGGGGCCGCCCGGGGCCGCCCTCCCAGGGGAAGAAGCTTCTGGGGCAATGGGGGAAGAAGGTGGGGGAAGTGGGGAGAATGAAAGGTACAGAACACAAAACAGTAGAAAGGGGCCTGTGGGTCGGAGGACAGGAAGGGGCGGGTGTGCGTGCGGAGAGAAGGCAGGTACAATTTTAGATCTTGCTCTGAACAGCTTGCAGCCTCACAACCCAACATCGATAAACATTTTCTGTTAATGGAACGCTGCATCGCTGACTTCGGCTGAGTGCGGGGTGGGGAGAGATGGATTTTAGGGAACTCAAGACCTCCCCTGAAACTGCTTCCAGCCTTGACTCCAACAACTTGAGGCGCAAAACTTTCTTCCCCCTTTCTTTGTCTTCACTGCATGCACGGTCCCCTTGGTCAAAAGTGAGTGCCCGATCATTCGCCCCACGTTGATGAGGATCTGGCTGGCACTAGCCTGTTTTCACCCAGCCTGTAGCCTTCACGCCCACGAGCCCAACCAGGGCCCAATCCGTGACGCGAGAGCACTTTAAGTGGTGCTCGGACCAAAGCAACTTTCCTCAGCTAGTACTTGCCGCTCTGGGGTAATTCCCCGTATTAGCAGTTTGTTTTCCTTTAAAAGGGGGATGAATGACGCAAAATTTGGGATTCTTTAAAAGACTGTAGTTAGTTTGCAGTATTTGCTATGTTTGAGAAGTCCATCAGCCAGGTCAGGGCTTAAGTAACTTGTGACCCCTTTGACATGTTTTAAATGACTGATGGGCAACAATCATAATTCAAGCTTCACTGTGCAGACTTAAGCGGACTTGGCAAAAGTATGAGGCCATTCCAATGGCAAATTCAAACTATGAAACAACAAATATAAGTGTCCTTTATGACCAGTCTTGCTTGAGGGATTTAATCACCCACATGTGGTAGGGACATACAATCTAGGGGTTCTAAGGAATTCTTCAAACATGGACTGTGCCTAATTGTTTCTGTGATTTGAACCTATTTCCCTTCCTTGTTTTAGTCCTTATCAAGAGGTAACGACAAACCTGAAGGCAGTCTCTAGCAACGGGCCAGCCACTCTTCCTGACGTTTTTCTCTCCAACTTCATATTGTCAGCAACTTGGCTAGAATGGTGCTTCTCAGCCTTGGAAGGACCCAGTGCTGGGAGTCAAGGGTTTTAGCTGACCCCATACCCAGCATGAGTATGTTGTGACAGCTACAAAGAGCAAATTACTGGTCTAGGCTGCTTTAATAGAAATATAGTATGAAGAAGGTCTCACTGCCTGACTTGCATTGAATAGAACATGACCTAGACTAGAGAACTAGCCACTTTAAGAAAGGTCGTAAAAAAGTTAGAAAACAGAGAGGGACAATCACAATACAGGTTCTCTCTGGTATGCTTGGATGCCCATCATTTGAGGAGGGGTTTGAAACGAATGCCTGGATATGAGTAGGTGTCGGGAAGGCAAAAAGCCAGTTTTCAATATTCACAAACTCGAGTAGAAGAGAGGGTAGATGTTTTCTTTGTTGCTCTGCAGCAGATAACACGTGTCAGTGGAGGATGTGTTGCTCAATATAATTTCTTCCAACCAACATTTACTGAGCACCAACCACATGTAAAGTAATGGCTGGGTGTAAAATGGCGTGCCTGGAAAAAGGGTGAGCTCTGTCACAGAAATATTCAAGCAGAGACTGACTGACCACTGTGGATACTCTAAAGAGGATCCCTACCCGGGGTGGGAAAATGGGCACGATGGCCTAGATCTAGAATCTCTTCCAGCTCTTAAGAGCCTGTGAGCCTGTGGACCACGAACAGTTTTAA